CGCCGAGGGTTGCGATCCCGTTGCCGGTCCCGGTCCGGTGCGGGAGCGACACTGAGGGTTGTGGTCCGTTGCCGGACATGAAAAAAGACAAAAAAGAAAAAAAAAAAATCAAACAAACAAAAGGATTACCGGTATCCACAGAACTTAACACAAGACCTAGTACCTAGTTGGTCTAAGTGTTTTATGAATCAATGAATTCTGTCTGACACCACCAGTCTTCAAGTTATCACAGTATTTTGAAAAAAAATAAGGAATTAGCAGAAAAACATATAACTGAGTACTGAGTGTTGGAGGTTGCCTCCTAATTATAGTTCCTTGAGTGAATCATCACAATTCTGCCAAATGAGCACTGTACTGTGAAAAATGAAAGCTCACAGAGGTGAAGCCTAACTCCTGGCCACACTACAACCAAATGCTTCCCTTTGTGCTCAAGGCCAGAGGAGTGCCCTGCCCCCACCCCCACCCCTAGGGACTGTTGCATCATTTCCTCCAAGGTTGAGTGAAGTCCCACCCCAGAGAACAACACTGGATCTAGCCTCCTCTTTCCCTCCCAAGATGGCCTCTATCCCTCTAGCCCTACTAACCAATCCGTGCTACGTTGATCACCCACGTTGGCCGCCATCTGGACCTTGGGGTATAAGGGGTGGACCTCGGGAGCCAGACTGCTTTTTCACTGTCTGTGAGAAAAAGATTGAGTTAGGAAGACTCAAGAAGGAGCAAGACACATGTCATGAAGTGGAGAAGAGAAGTAGACGGACTTACAAAAATCCAGGCAGAAAAGGGTAGTTTGAGAGAGAAGGAGCCAACGGAGTAAAGAATCCCAAGAGAATTCTGGGTGTAAAATAAAAGGGCTGGAGTATGAGGGAAAGACTGGCTTCCCTGTAGCGCTTCAGATGGAAAATGAAGGACTTGAAAACAGAAGCCTGAAGGGATTTCCCAAAGGAAATGGGAAGGGTCTGAAATCCACATGAGAAAAGGAAGGGTGTGAGGAAAGCTCTGAGTGAGAAAGGCAGGGGGAAAGTCCAGAAGGTGGAGTGAGGGGACCTCAGTCAAGAGGCAAGAATTCCAGAGAGAATACAGGTTCTGAGAGGAAGCAGAAGAAAGAGGGCACTCTAATGAGAAAAGTCTGAGAGAACCCTTAAAGCTGAGAAGCTTGGAAAGATTTCTGAGAACTCCGTAAAGAGGGAAGCCCTGAAGGGAACACTGAGAGGAGGGAGGGGCTGGGACTGGGAAAACGTTAGACAATGAAGGAAAATTTTGAGAGGAAAAAGGGGATTTCTGGAAGTTACCCCTAGAAGCAGGAAGAAGTTGAGAGTGACCAAGGGAAAACCGGATGTGAAGAAATGGGTTCTTAAAAAGCACCTAGTGACTGATTTCCAAAAGGTCTCAAGAGCAGAAAAGAGACCTATATAGGAGGCTCGTAAAAGCAGAGGTAGGCCTGGGAGAAGAAAGAGGTGATTTCCTCAGTTGAGAGTCTGGAGATAAAGCTTTAGGGATGCCTAAGAAGAAGGATCAAAGCATCTTTATAATATTAACAGCGGGTTGAAAGACTAAAAGAAAAGTGAAGGGGTGTGTTGGGGACAGACTGAGAGACCTACACTCCCGGAGGCAATAACTGAGAAGAGTGGGTTCAAAGGTGACTACCTTTCGAGATCTCCGAAGTCTTACAAGAGGTTGAGGT